TTTTCTACTGAAATAACAACGCTTTTCCTTTTCACACTATTCTTAAACAATTACATAAGAATTTCTTTTACCTACCCAAAATGAAAGACATTGATATTTTACGCTTTTCTTTTTCATTGTATCTATAAGCTGTTACAATAAGTATATCCTTTTTGATTCGGTAGCGCTTTTTCTTCTCGCTCTCTCTATAGACAAAAAGATAAGATTTTTCTTTTTCAAGCTATATCTATCATTTACGCTTTTCTGTTTCACTCCATCTATAAATTGTTTCAATAAGTTTATCCTTTCTACTTCGGTAACGCTTTTTTTCTCGCTCTCTCTATAGAGAAATAGGTAAGATTTTCCTTTTTTGACAATAGCTATCGTTTACGGTTTTCTATTTCACTCTATCTATAAACTGTTAAAGTAAGTTTATCCTTCCTGCTTCGAAAACGCTTTTTCTTCTGGCTCTCTCTATAGAAAAACAGGTAATATTTTCCTCTTCTCATCTCATTTGCATATCTACTCTTTTCATAAGAAGGAAAATTTACTTAAGAGTGTTCAAAGGTCTCTGAAATTCTTTGGCATTTAATTATCGACCTATAAATACGACACTGACCGTAAAATTGACAAACATTGAATTTAAAACACTTTTTTCTTGAATTATGGACACTTTTTATAAAATTGGCCAATGTACTAAGATTTCTTATCTTACAAATTTCCTAAATCCGAAAGATTTTTGGAATCCATGCAAGAACGCGATCGCAAAATTGGAAATAGGAACCCACATAGCACGGCTTCTTGCTGTGAGCTTACTGTAAGAATATCTGTAGGGTTTGTAAGGTTACCGTGAAAGCCTGCAGTAATCTTGAGGTTAACTTAAAATTTCTTGCTTGTAGTAAACTTACACAGTAAAGCAAAGGTAAGCTTACACAATAAGGTCGTGGTAAATTTACATGGTAAGGTTGTTGTAAGCTTCCTTTAAGGTTAGTGTAAGGTTACTGTAAGGTTGATGTAAGGTTGCTGTAAGGTTACTGTGAACATAGAATGTTATTAATAAGTAAATTTTATTAATAATTATGCGCAGTAGTTTTCTATGGCACATACGGCTGCGCAGTAAATTTTATTTAACAAACCCTATTGCGGTTTATTAAGTACTTTACCAAGTATATAATTTTCGATAAAAAAAATTTATAATATATTATATATTATAGTATAATTATTTTTAATATATTTTCATATTACTTTATGTTTACAGTAACCTTACAGCAACCTTACAGTAACCATATGGGAAGCTTACAACAACCTTACCGTGTAAGCTTACCACAACCTTACTTTGTAAGCTTACCTTAGCTTTACTGTGTAAGCTTACTGTAAGCCGGAAGTTTTAAGATGACCTCAAGTTTACTGTAGGCTTACACGGTAACCTTAGAAACCCTACAGATATCCTTATAGTAACCTTACAGCAAGAAGTTGTGCTATGTGGGAAAATAATAATAATGACAGCTGCGACTTTGTGCTCCCTGCATGCTTCTGCCATCTAACGGCAGCTGGACGTGATAAAGCTAAAATTATTACTTTCATATTTCCAACTTTACGGTCTCATTTTTTCAATGATTTGAAAAATCTTTCAAATTTAGTAAATTTATAAGATAAAAAAATCTGCATACGTACATTGGCCGATTTTATAAAAAGTGTCTATAATTCGAGAAAAAAGTATTCTAAAATCAATGTTCTTCATTTTTACGTTCAGTGCAGTATTTAAAGGAGGATAATTAAATGCCAAAGAATTTCACAAACATTCTTAAATAACATTTTTCACAACTTACTATAATAATATTTCTCTTTCTCAAAATAAGATTGTCTATTTTTCTCAGGCTAAAGTTAGCAAGAGAGAGCTAAAATCTGTTTTGAATTAAAGTAATAAAAAAATAATAACAATACAATTATATACAATAGAATATTGTCTAACACAGCAGGAGGATGAAAAATATCTCCATAGGCGGTAAAAACTTTTAAAGAGAAGGGCTACAAAATTTTTAAATAATGAAAAATAAATTAAAATAAAAACTCTCTGTCTATCTTTCTCACTCAGAATATGAATATTTTCTGTTTATCTTGGTACAGCCAATTGTTTATTAACAATCTACTAATCCAAAGTACTTCATAAAGGTCTCGTTGGATGCGGAATTACTTTCATTTAGTAACATCAGAATTACGAAAACATAATTTGTTTGTGAAATATTTCATTTTTTATTAACATTGAATTAATTAATTAATTAATATCTCGAAATTAAAAAAAAGACATCTCAATATTTTTTATGGTAAAAATACACATCTTTAACTTAAAAAAAACAAAAAAAAGACCGAACGTAAAAAAAAGGCAAAAAATTTTTTGATTTTTTAAGAAAGTGTCAAATTTTGAATTTTTTGAAAAAATGTTTTCAACATTCGAAAGAGCAGGAAAAAACATTTAAAAACATATAAGTCAAATTTTTTTTTATCTTTATGCTTAAAAGTTACAAGTCTTCAAAAATTCACTGTTTAAATTTTTCAAAAAAATTCAACTCCCCACAGTGAGGCAGAATGCTGAAAACGTGCCGAAAACCTCAAAACATTCTTTGATTGATATAAAAACATGGTAACTCTATGTTTTTGGGGGCGCTGATTACAAATCTAAAGTCCGTTTTTAAAAATTCAAAATGGCGGATCCAATATGGCGGATTAATTTTGAAAAAGTTAATGGATTTTTATAAAAATGAGTTTCAGGGGTTTTTTTATGTCGCTGATTACGAATCTAAAGTCAGTTTTTAAAAATTCAAAATGGCGGATCCAATATGGCGGATTAATTTTGAAAAAGTTAATAGATTTTTATAAAAATGAGTTTCAGGGGTTTTTTATGTCGCTGTTTACGAATCTAAAGTCAGTTTTTAAAAATTCAAAATGGCAGATCCAATATGGCGGATTAATTTTTATAAAGTTAATGGATTTTTATAAAAATAAGATTCAAGGGTTTTTTTAGGTAGCTGATTACGAATCTAAAGTCAGTTTTTAAAAATTCAAAATGACGGATCCAATATGGTGGATTAATTTTGAGAAAGTTAATGGATTTTTATAAAAATAAGTTTCAGGGGGTTTTTTAGGTCGCTGATTACGAATCTAAAGTCCGTTTTTAAAAATTCAAAATGGCGGATCCAATATGGCGGATTAATTTTGAAAAAGTTAATAGATTTTTATAAAAATGAGTTTCAGGGGTTTTTTATGTCGCTGTTTACGAATCTAAAGTCAGTTTTTAAAAATTCAAAATGGCAGATCCAATATGGCGGATTAATTTTTATAAAGTTAATGGATTTTTATAAAAATAAGATTCAAGGGTTTTTTTAGGTAGCTGATTACGAATCTAAAGTCAGTTTTTAAAAATTCAAAATGACGGATCCAATATGGTGGATTAATTTTGAGAAAGTTAATGGATTTTTATAAAAATAAGTTTCAGGGGGTTTTTTAGGTCGCTGATTACGAATCTAAAGTCCGTTTTTAAAAATTCAAAATGGCGCATTGATTTTTTAAAAAGTTAATAGTTCTTTATAGAAATTAAGTTCTATGATTAAGAATTCAAAGTCAGCTTTACATATTTAAAATGGCGAGTCTTTAATGTCTTTTAACAATGTGAAAAGTTATGTAACCAATAAATTTGTTGTTATTTTTTAGAGACACCTGATTGGTCAAAATCGTTTAAGCTCATTTCGAATATTTTATTTAAAAAAAGTATCCATATTTTTCATTACTTAATTATTATGAATAAAATAATAAATAAAAAAAACCATTTTATTGTGATTATTTAGTTTTGCAATTTTTTAATTAAATTTACTGGAAGACGGAAACGTAATTATGATTTAAATATATATTTAATATGTACAAATTCTTTTTTAAAATACATCAAGCGTTATATCCGCCAAATATGTCCCGTTATGTTTTTAAAATAAAAATAAAATATAAAAATCTATTGCGCAGCCATAGGTGTTTTAGAATTTAATTGCGCATCTTGCAAAATTTTGCACTCTTTTATCGCTTTTACTGCAGAATGGTAAGTAATGACGGAAAAACCACCTTATTCCAAGGTTTATTAAAAATAATTGACTATTTACACTTTTTGTACGCCATATTTAATTTTTATAAATCTGACTTCAAATTTATAATCAGCAAACAGAAAACTTTTTAAGTAATAAAAACAGCAATATTATGTAATTTAATTGCAGTAATTGAATAAAAATACATTTAAAGCAAAAAGGGGAAAATTTGGGCAAGTTTTGTTTGTGGGGTTAGTTTAAGGGTCGTTTACTTATTAATTTAAAAAAAAAATTTGCCAGATTTTGCCAGATTCATAACTTTTTCAATTAGTTTTCAAAAAATCTATACTCTTTTTTTAAACATTTTCATTGATTTCCTTGTTAAATAGTTTTTTTATTTATTAATATTATTAATTATAAAATATACAAATGTATTCCATCAGTTTTCATGAGACAAATCCAATTTAGAGAATGAAAAAATATTGAAATTTAAACTTTTTATACTGTTTTTACGTGCACGATGTATTTTTTATTATAATTTGCTGATTTTTACAAATACGGAAGATCGATATCAACAAACCGTAGAAGGATAAGATTTTCTTGCAAATCATTATAAATTGTTTTTTCTAACTCAGAGAAGGTCAGAGAATAATGCTATGAACGTCAAATATTTTTTTTAAAAAAATTTAATTTTAGGGTTTTCGGCACGTTTTTAGGATTCTGCCCCACTGTGCTCCCTCCCTCTCTTACAGTTTTTTAAAAAAACCTAACAATACTTCGTGGTTAAAGTACTCACCCCTAGGGCTAAACTATGTGCCAGTTACAGCCTGATCCGATTAACTTTTTTTTCACTTAGTACGCTACAGGCATTTTACCCCTTGTCTTTTCCTATAGAAAAAATTCATTTAAGTTTAAAACCTTCTTTATATGTTATTATATACTGTATTTTTTCAGGATACTGGAAAACCAGTTAGAAATGCAAACACTACGATTTCCATTAGAGTGAATAGCGCTAGATCTACTTTAAAGTTTTCAAAATCACTATATGTCGCTGACTGCAGATCCGCTGAAGTTGAAAAGGTAAAATATTTGTTCTTAAATATTTTAAATATTACTTCTCTAATAAAAATGTTTAATAAGATTGTTTGAGAATAGTCCCAGATGATTGTAGGATACTTTTCCCCCAATCAGTTTCTTAATGATTTTTATTCCAACGATTTTTTTTCTGCACAAAAAATTTTCCAAAAAATATTTATATATTATTTTATATAAATTTATTTACTTAAAACGAAAGGGGACAATTTCCCCAAAGATAACCAGAATTTTAACTGCAGAACTGACACACGAATGAATATGGTTGTAAAAACAATTGGGAATTTGTTGCGAAACAAAATTCGAATATCATGTTTTCGTACATAAATATTATTATTATTGAGAAAATATTAAACATGTTTGGGAAAATAATATGTTTTTGGAAAATGTTTTTGTTGGAAAAAAACGCTTGGAAACTTATTTTGAAAAATTGGCCCCTTACCGTCCCAGATAGAAAATTCCACTTGGAACTAGCCACTCACTTACCAGTTCTTTTTAATAAGTTTCGATATTTTGTTTTTAGTTTAGTCAAGTTACTAATTGTAGACCACCCGCTGGGTGAATATTGGGTCATCATTAGGAATAACGTAAAAAAATTGATAAATCAGCTAAAATTGTTCAAAAAACATTTCGTAATTGAGAAATAGACTTCTAAAGAGTTAATTTCTGCGTCTGGAGATAATATAGGGCAATAGTTAAAGGTATAAAAATAGTGATTATTAGTATTAATAATATTAATAGAGTAGAAGGGGGTAATATACTGCACTGACATTATTGACCAAGCGAATTAATAGAATTATCTGCCGTTGGTATGGTAGATTTATAGTATCAAATGATGTTCATGTTCAAAATTCTGAATTTATTGTGCTTCTTCAGAAAAAGTTATGGCGTCACTTCGAAAAAACTATATTTGGAAACCTTATTTTCACTTCTTCGTGACTTGAAAAAAAGTATCAGATTCATTTTTAAAAAATCAAGTAAGTGCTTTTTTCATGTAAAATTTAATCCAGAACACGAATCCAGTATTGTTTTGACGTTTTCTTTTATTTTTATTGAGATATTTAAGTCCGTGTTGAGAAACTGCTTTGAGGCATTGTAGTGCACTCGGTTGGGGGCGCAGCGTAGTGCAATTTACAGAGTACTATGAATATTTATTATTTAACCATATTTGTTTTTTGTCCTTTTTTAAACGTAATATGACAGAAGAAGAAAACCGAACCTATATAATTGTTTTGAAATTATTTGATATTAATTTTTCAAAATTCAAAATGGCGGATCCAATAAGGCGAATTTTTTTTTTAATTGCTTGGATATGCAGGTTTAAAGGAAAAGAACAACTGAAAATACCTGATAATAGGACAGAATATGAAACTAAGAAAGAAAGAAAAAGAAAAGCTCTGAAAAGAACTGATTTTTATGTTTAGACTATTAATATCCACCTACCTGCAAGAACACACGAAAAATTCGTAAGATTTGTATCTCAAAGTTGTCTGTACTTATATACTTTTCAATTTGTCTTGATTGTGAGAGAACTTACCCTAACTACGCCTGCACCACTTTGTGGACAAAAGTACAATTACAATGTAAAGCGCGCTAATACCTGGCGACTATACATGTCAACAAAGCGCCAATCAAGTATCGAGGTAAAGCGCGCGTTTTTATGAAAATGATGATAACGATGCAAATCACAAATTAATTTAAAAATATTAATTCAATATAATTTAAATAAATTGAAATTAAACGTAATAATAATAATAATAACAACAACATTTTTTCTATTATTTTATAAATAAAATGTAAATAATAAACAGATGATTAATTTTTAGACATTGATATTTACGATCTCAAATATAGTTTTGAATTTTTTTCATTATTTTGGAATAATCGATTAGAATTTTTAAAAACTGACATTAGTTTCGTATTCAGTATATTTCAAAAAATCTTGGGTAGTGCATTTCTTGAACTTAAATAAATTTTTTGAGAAACTCGTTCGTCATATTAGATCCGCCATTTAAAATTTTGAAAAACTAACATCATATTAGTAATCAGCAACCCCGAAAACCCTTATACTGTGATTTTTGTCAAAAATAATCATTTTTTAGAAAAGTTGACAGTTGTTTTGACAGCTGTCAATTGTCAAAATGTAAATCTGACATCATATTCGTAATCAGCGACTCCGAAAACCCCTATACTGTCACATTCACCTAAAATAAAAGAATTTTAGAAAAGTTGACAGTTGGTTTGTAGCTGTTAACTGTCAAATTGTCAATTCGACATCAAGTTCTAATCAGCGACTTCGAAAACCCTTAAAAACAAATGCCACTTATTGATAATTATTATTACTACTTGGGAAACGTAAGTTATTTTTTCTATGTTTAGGGCGCCATCTATGATGCGCCATTTTGAATTTTTAAAAATTGGTACCAGATTTGTATTCAGTGGTTCAAAAACTTTCAGTTAACGTGTCCGATAATTTTTTTTTTGACATTGATCTGTGTACGCGAGCTAACTGGTTTTTTTACGATTTTTGCGATTTGCATAAACTTTCGGTTATTTATTTATGTTAAAAAATTTTTTCATCGTTACTTGAATTTTTTCTCGATACTACGATCTCTACTGCAGAAATTGAGTGAAACGGCATTAAAAAATATTAATATTTAAAAAAGTTACAGGGTTTTTTGCAAGTGGGACATATACGTCTCGCAGACGTTAAAGGGTTAAAACTTGTTACTCGGGGGTTTTTGGGGATGCTCATTACGAATATGAGGTCAGATTTTCAAAATTTTAAATGGCATATAAAGAAAAATTCGATTTTTTAAAGTGTTTGGGTGATGTTACCCCTTAAGATTTGTAACAAATTTTACTTTTTTTATTAATAATAATTAGAAAATTCTAAATTAATTTAACATAAACAATGAAGAAGTGGACTCTTAGAAGTATATTTTTTAATTATAAAATGTTTTTTCACCAATTTTAACAGATTTATCAATTTTTCTTACGTTATTCCTAATGTTGAATTAATATCTTGAATGTTCCAAAGGAATCTTCCTGGAATATTCCGGGAGAATTTGGTGGGAAGAAGTTACAGGAATAGTCCTGGAATATTTTGATAATTTCTTTTGGAAATGTTCTATATTTTTTCTTGAATTTTTATATTATTTTTTTACATAAGTTCCCAAAAAATAATTTTAAAAAGTATTTCGTAGGCAATTTTTCAGATTATTTTTGTAAAATCTTCCTGAAAGAAAACTTATAAATAATCCAGAACTATTCCTATAACTTCTTTCCACCAAATTCTCATGGAATATTCCTTCGGAACATATAAGAGCAGGTGGAAATTTACTGTATTCCCGGGGCCCTTCCAAGCATTTTTCAGTAAAATATGCCAAATATTGCAGGAATATGTTGTATTGTCTGGACATTTACAAAAAAATTGAAGGTAATAGTCAACATATAAGTACCACATATTTTTTCTCGAAAAACATGATTTTTTAAATTTCTACTGGTTTTATGCTGTTTTGAAGGGTGGGTCATTTGATTACTATTTTAAAAAACTGCTGCTTTCACTTCATGGCACCTTGAACTACCAATTACAAAAAAATAATTAGAGGTGCTCAACAATTTTAAACCCCCCCCCCCCCCCGCCGGAAAACCGTGATTACCGACGTATCGCGTTCTGTTGAGGTGTTTAAAAAAATCATTTTTCGCCAAAAGTATATTTTTTAAAAATTTGACAAATATATATGTTAAAGGGAACATTATAATGTACTTTTTGAAAAAAAATTGGAAGAGTAACGTCAATAAATGACCCCAAAAAATTTATTTTAATTTTAAAATAAAAATTTTTTGACTTATTTTGAAAAAAATTTTTTAATTTTTTTTCTAATTTGTCTTACTTATATTTCTAACATATTTAAATATTAAAATCCGTCTAGTTGTTTTCCATAAAAATAAGTTTTTTGATTTTTATTTTGCCCTCCATAACTCTTACAAAATTTAAATTATGGGTTCATACTTTTAGAATTTTATACTCATATGGGTAGCAATTTATGGTGCAAATATTATTTTAATGCAAGTTTAGTATACTTAATCTCATATGCCCTTTTTAGTTTTATAGCTTCTACAGAATTATTTAAAAATTATTTGATTTCAATGTAATATGGATTATTTTCTTCAGGAACTTATTCTCTACATCTTCACAGTAGGGATTCTTAAACAAGCAAGCCGTTTGGAAAATATAATAATAATAATTATAATAATAGTATCTTTATTTTGTTCTAGGCAAATCATAAGAACAATATTTAAAATACAGAAAATTATTACATATTAGAAAAAGGAAAATTCAATAACATAATAAAAATATAAAATCATTCCATATTGAAATAATAATTTTTTTCTAATAAAACCATACATAATTAAGAACAAAAATATGAACCAACCATAGTAAAATAAAAAAATCAACTCAAACATTGTATATAGATCATTCATAAAATACTTACAACCAACGAAAATAAAATTTAAACGCAAATATTCCATCTTACATATAAATTAATTAAATATAAATTACATGAGGAAGGAACAGAAACAATGACAAACAAGTATACAGGGTGTTCCAAAAGTATGGAAACTTGAAAATATCTCGAAAAGTACGAATTTTCGTAAAAAATGTTCAAGACAAAAGTTGTTCCAAACAAAAAGATGTACATCTTTGAAACCAAAAAATTGGGCCCGGGGCCCAATGTTGGGCCCTACAATGAAAAAAGTGGTCCTATTATAAAAAGGACATACATGTCACATGTCACATATGTCACAGGTGTCTTATGTCACACCTGTTACATGTTACTCCTGTCACATTTCATATATTTTACACCAGTCGTATGTCATACATGTCACACCTATGATATGTCACACATGTCACACCTGTCATATGTCACACATGTCACAACAGTAGTATGTCACACCTGTCATATGTCACACATGTCACAACA